GCAGCATTAATTGCCGTTGCTCCACAGCCACCAAATTTCCCAACCCATGGGAGATCCCCATAGGCCAGACACCATGGCTCTGCGGGCTGGATCTGGCCTGCACCAGGGGTTGTGCAGCCTTGCCACAGAACATCAGGGGACAGGATTTTCCTGCAAAGACGCAATACGTCCTGCACTTTAGTAAGATGCTCTCAGGCAAGGATATTTTGAAATAAGGATCCAACAGCAGCATTAACTTTATACACTTAACTGATGTACAGTAGAGTATACTGCATATTGTATCATTCTGTACTCTCCTTTCCTATGCTAGAGCACTGAGTATACTGCAGTGCCTATGTAAAAGGGTTTTTTTTACATAGGCACTGCAGTATACTCAGTGCTCTAGCATAGGAAAGGAGAGTACAGAATGATACAATATGCAGTATACTCTACTGTACATCAGTTAAGTGTATAAAGTTAATGCTGCTGTTGGATCCTTATTTCAAAATATCCTTGCCTGAGAGCATCTTACTAAAGTGCAGGACGTATTGCGTCTTTGCAGGAAAATCCTGTCCCCTGATGTTCTGTGGCAAGGCTGCACAACCCCTGGTGCAGGCCAGATCCAGCCCGCAGAGCCATGGTGTCTGGCCTATGGGGATCTCCCATGGGTTGGGAAATTTGGTGGCTGTGGAGCAACGGCAATTAATGCTGCCACTCATCCCCCACTGGCAAATTACCAAATCCTAAGCAGCTGGATCAGGCCTGGCCTGAGCCATTGCTGTTTGGCCAGACTGGGACCAGACTGTTCCTTTCCCCCACCAATGTGGCCTGACCTGAGCTAGGCCACCCCTTTCACCCCCCACCCTCAACAAAGCCAGATAGGCGCTGGACCTCTCCTTCCCCCTCCGTGCTTGTGTGGCCAGATTGAGGCTGAGCTGTCCCCATCTCCTGCCTCTCATACAGCAGGATGGGGCCCACTGGCTGAATCCAGTCTATGGATGGACCTGGCATTGGCCATCTGGCCCACAGGGTGAAAAGGTCACTGTTCTAGGGGAATAGAGTCTTCTAGACTGTTGCTGCCATAGGTTGCGGAGGAATATTGAAAAAATGTACTCTGTTTATTTTTAAGATAACATTTTTGAAGGATAATTGCAAATTTATTTTGGTATGTAGCTCAGTAGAGGAATTCAAAACTAAAAGCATCCTTGAGGAAACAAATCTAACATTAGTTCAATCATTAACTTGTCCTGCAGCTGCCTGCTGAAAACTGCCTTCTTGGAGAAGGCAGGGAAAGATGATTGAATAAGGGGACAGTGTTCTAGTCTTAAAAAAACCACAGAGCATTATATTCTCTTAAAGAACAAGAAAGGAAAGACACAGAAAGAGGAAGACCAGAATAAAGAAAAGGAGAGAGAGGACATAGGAGACAAAATGGAGACAGAGAGAAGGAAGAAAGGGAAAGAAAAGCAAGAGAAAGCAGGTAGTATTTAGGTTAGTGAATTGTCTCTTATTTGTTCATGTTCCTTCCAGCAGACTTCAAATGTAAGTGATATGTGTTAGTGGACAGTACTGGCTGGATAGCTCTGGATCAGCGTTTCTCAACCCATGGGTCATGACCCAAAAATGGGTCACAAGAATATATGAAAGGGTCACAAACAATTGCAGAAAAACATGGAAAATCACAAATTTTCTCCTGTAAAGGAGGAAACCATGGGTTTCCCTTTGTAGACTGGCAGGATGTTTAAATACTTAAACTATTTACCAGGTCAGGATTGGCCATCAATGTTTACAAATGGGTCATAGTACAAAAAAAGTTGAGAACCACTGCACTAGATGATTTGTGTCTAGCACAAGGAGCAGCAGTATAAGCTTCCGTATGCTGCCCTGCCAAGGTCTTAAATCCATGCCTTTAGTGAAACTGCTGATCACTGAGAATTATACCAGGAATCTCCAAGTTCTCTTAAATCAGCTGCTGATCAGCTTTCTGGGTAATGTCCTTCACTCATTTAGATGGGCTGGATTCTGACTAGGGAGTCTTTGTGTATAATTGTTATCAGTCCCCCAGTTATTTCCTCTCTTTCTTCAAAGGATGGTCAGTCTTAACCTGCTGTTGAGAGGAAGTGGGGCAGACTTATCACTGACTAGTTAGGCATTATTAGGTAAATGGGGTCTTTTTTCAAATTACTTGCTGCAGCTGCATGCAGATCCTTCCCCTCTTGACTTTCAGGTCTTGGGTTAAGTGAGCAATGGAGTCATAACACTTTGATAGATGCTAATTTTTCACCTCTGGAGACCTGAGCTTCAACTTGTGATTTAAGTCACACCCAAAAGAAAATGGCAAATGTGGTCTCAACTAGATCCACTCTAGATCTTGTGCAGACTTCCCACTGATGTTTGTGGGAGCATCATTTTTGACTGGAGAGAGAGTGGAGTCCTAATGTGCCTTGATGTGTTCTCACATGCCTTGACATATAACTGAATATGGTGTCTGACATTCTTTACTACGTGAGTAGAGAGAGGTAGTGCCCACATAATGCTGTCAAGGTTCCCTTAACTTCAGACTAACTTGTTCAGAGACAGGAATCGTCATAGGCTAGAGCCTACTTCCTCAGATCCTATGAATAGACTCTTCATTTAGCATCTGACAAACTAGGCTGTAGCCTACGAAAGTTCATGCCTACCTGATGGAGTTAGTTTTTATTTAATACACTTGATGTTGTGATACAGGTGAATCTAAACATAATGCTTTTATAACTAGCCCAACTGTCCCTGTGTTAATATATTTTTTTTTTAATTCCGTTTTTTAGGTCCTTGGTTTGATATGTATCTAAGGGCACGTGAGTCTGTAGTTTTGAATTTTAATCCATTTATGGCTTTCAATCCTGACCCCAAAGCTGAATATAATGACCAGCTGACACGAGCTACTAACATGACTGTTTCTGCCCTCCGTTTCTTGAAGACCCTCAGGGCTGGCTACCTAGAGCCAGAGGTTTTTCACCTCAATCCGGCCAAAAGCGACACGGAGACATTTAAAAAGCTCATTCGATTTGTGCCATCATCTCTTTCCTGGTATGGTGCCTACATGGTCAATGCTTATCCCCTAGATATGTCTCAGTATTTCAGGCTTTTCAATTCCACACGGCTGCCGAAGTTCAATAGAGATGAGCTTTTCACAGATGAAAAGGCAAAGCACTTACTTGTGCTCAGAAATGGGAATTTTTATGTTTTCAATGTCATTGATGGAGATGGGAACATTGTGAAACCTTCAGAAATCCAAGCACACCTAAAATACATTCTTTCTGATAGCAGTCCAGCCGCAGCCTTCCCTCTTAGTTATCTAACCAGTGAAAACAGAGATGTGTGGACAGTACTGAGGCAGAAGCTACTTGATAATGGCAATGAAGAAGCCCTTTACAAAGTGGACTCTGCTGTCTTCTGTCTGTGTCTGGATGATTTCCCTATTAAAGACCTTGAGCACTTGTCCCATGTCATGTTGCATGGAGATGGTACTAATCGCTGGTATGACAAATCCTTCAACCTTATTATAACCAAAGATGGCACTGCAGCCATTCATTTTGAGCACTCTTGGGGAGACGGAGTGGCTGTGGTGAGATTCCAGAACGAGGTGTTTAAAGACAGCACCCAAACACCCGCTGTTAGTCCACAGTCTCAACCTGCTGCTGTTGACTCTTCCAGAGCTGTGCAGAAACTTGACTTTAATCTGAATGATGCCTTAAAAACAGGAATTGCCAAAGCCAAAGAACAGTTTGATGCTGCTGTGAAAAGTCTGACTCTTAACAGTATTCATTTTGAGAAAGGAGGCAAGGAGTTTTTAAAGCAAAAGAAGTTAAGTCCTGATGCTGTGGCTCAGCTCTCCTTCCAGATGGCTTTCCTCCGGCAGAATGGGCAGACAGTCGCCACATACGAGTCTTGTAGCACTGCAGCTTTCAAACATGGTCGCACGGAGACCATCCGTCCTGCCACCATCTACACAAAGAAGTGTTCAGATGCTTTCCTCAGGGAACCTTCCAAATACAGCATAGAAGAGCTTCAACAGATGATCATGGAGTGCTCCAAGTACCACAGCCAGTTGACAAAAGAAGCTGCTATGGGTAAGTGACAAGACCAGGTCATGATGCTAGAGCAGGGGGAGGGCCACTTAACAAGGTTTAATGAGCTTTTGAGGGCCGCATGGGTAGCCCCATCCTTTGGTTCCACTGCTTCCCTACATGCTGCCTAGAGCAAGCAGGATGCCAGGGAAGCTGAGCTGGTTCCCCAGCAGCTGCAGCGGCTTTCGCCTTTGAGGGTGGGAGTGAGGCTCTAGGTTATGTTGGTGGGGTGCGTGTATACGTGGGCACCTCGCTCCTACCCTTATGTGCAGAAGGGCTGGGCAGGGTACAGTTCTTTAGTGAGCATCTTGGGCCAGACGAAAGTGCCTGGTGGGCCAGATGCAGCCCACAGGCCGTATTTTGCCTGCCTCTGTGCTAGAGCATTTGCAATTCTGCATCTGAACTGAAGTGTAGTTGCTGAGTAAACTTCCAGCAACCAAAATCTAAATTAATCTGGCTGAAAATGCTATGTTCTGTGTGCTAGAAAGCTTCGGTAGCAGGAATTTCCAGGTTAAGAACATTCTGCCTTTGTGACGTCCTTGGGGGAGAGCGCTTTTATACCACTCCTTTCCTGCCATGTGCATGCATGTGCATGCACCGCCCCCCCTGCATTTATTGGTTTTTTCCCTGTCCTCTTATTATTTACCTCTATAGTAGCCAGCTATCTGAATCATCAATTAATAACTTCCTCTGAGCTGGCCTTTCTGGGTCTTTTAAATAGTTCAGAATTGAACCTTAACTTCCTTCTAGATTTTTGACAATATCTATAGCATGCTGGACCTTCTCATATACTTGTCTTGTTTGGCTTCCTTTTTTTAGCATTTGTGTTGATTTTAGGGGGAAAAAAAAGTCTTTTCTATCCTAGTCCTTGCCATTGGGAACAACCTTGTTCTACCTTACTCCATGTTTAGTAATGTGAAAACATGCATCTCTCAACTTTCTTCCACCGTTTCACTAGCATTAAAAATTGCTACTAACACAACACTAGCATCTAGTCCCCCTGACTGGAGATCATGACACTCTGAGCAAAACCTGGTGTCTTTTCCCAGAAAACAGCTGCACTAAAAATGCTCAACAATTTTGTTCTGCAGAATTTTTCAGGGTAATTTGTAAAAAAGCCACTATCCAGCATGTGGCTTTGAAGCGATGTGTATTTCACCTGCTAAACAACTTGGCTTATTCTCTGCAGAAAAGCAGTAATTTCTGTGATGTTTTGTGTTTCCTTTTAACAGGTCAAGGATTTGACCGGCACCTGTTTAGCTTGCGCTATTTGGCAGTGTCCAAAGGCATGCCATTGCCTGACTTCTACCAGGACCAAGCTTATGCTCAGCTGAACCACAACATTCTCTCTACAAGCACATTGACCAGCCCTGCTGTGAATTTCGGAGGATTTGCGCCCGTGGTGCCTAATGGCTTTGGTATAGGATATGGAGTACATGATAACTGGATTGGTTGCAATGTTTCTGCTTACCCAGCCAGGAATGTGAAAGAATTCCTCCAGTGTGTGTATCAGTCACTAGAGGATATTTTCTGTGTTTTGGAAGGCAAGCATATCAGTAAATAGATGTTACAAGGCTGAGCCACCTTTAACATACTGTATGAAATGCTGGTCACTTCTGATCATGTGTGTTTGAAAATTCCAGCCACAGCATTTAGTTTTTACTGACTATATTCAAAGGAGCAAATTATGCATCTAATTTACACTGAATTTCAGCTCCCTTAGAATTACCTTGAAAATCATAGCCATGATAAGGAAATCAAATGCAGACTCCTGAATATGAGATTCAGGAAATACTAATTCTTCATAGTACCAGAATCAAGTAATTACGTACAGCGTGGACTTAAACATAAAGCATTAAACATTTGTTTCTAGTCAAAAATTTAAATATTTATATTGATGCATTTGAGCATGTGTTCATACCTCCAGTGACATGACATCACTTTTGAGCTGTATTAACTAATTTTAAAACCAGCATACTAAATTTAAAGGTATAGTAAAGTTTGCACAGGTGCAGCAGGCTCCTTACTACTTCATTTTCCTTGATATACTTGAAACCGAACATCAGATTAATGGTGCCTTCCTTGTTGGAAAAATGGAATGTAAGAGAACTTTACTCTTTGTTTTCCCCCAAACAATACCTTGCCCTGCAATCAAATGTTTTATAACTGTTAAACCGAATGGAAACTTTGTATCCCAATAAAGCTACCTAATGAAGAGCTGCAGAAAACTGTTTTAATAGCCTGTTGGGATGGGGAACATGGTAGTTTCTAGTGTTGCTAGTTTGCTTTTCTAATAAAGTGGTATACAAAGGCTGAGCAACATTCAGTCAAGTGTACACTTCTGTTTAGTAGCCCATTTGGTAAGTTAAGTCTTCCCTTCTAATCTATGTTTCCTTTTCCTCCTTAAGCTTTGAGGGGACACACACTTAACTCACTTCTCCTTAAACTTCTCCATATACTGGTGCTGCTTTCCTTTCTACTCTTCCATCCCAAAGTATATATTGGCACCAGAATGCTCTCCTTAATAACTGTCTTGCAGGTGTTGTACACCTGATGTCTTACTGTATCACATGTTTTAGAGGCTCAGGTAGAACTTTCAGCTGATTTGAAAGGCAAATACCAGGATTAGTTTGGCGTCTGTACATTTAAGATGTCTTTAAAACAGGCAGAGAGCTTCCTGTGGGAGGAGTTCAAAACTTTCCAGGAGGCCTAGCAGAATTTCCTGAAGAATACTGCCAACACTTAGAAACCCTCAGCAAGCACTTCAGATCCTAGGCTGCTTGCAGATGTTAAAAAAACAAAAAATGGTGCTTTACTTTAAACTCAGTGCACTCCTGCAGAGCCCAGTGCATGCCCAGAAGAAGCAGTGTATTAATTGGACCTGGCTTACCCAACATCTGTATAGATTGGGCACTCTAGTGGGGTTTTTTTTGGCAGTTTTATCTAATACCTGATTGAATCAACTTTAGATAAAAGCCCTGCTGAAATGCCTGATCTCTACAGGTGCTGTGGAATCAGGTCAAAGTAACGCATTGCTGCTTCTGGTAAAGTGTTTTATTTTGTTTTTCCTCCCCGTCTGCAAGCAGTTTGAGACAGACAGTTGGTCTCAAAAATCTGAAGTAAAATCTGCAGAGTTCCTGTTGTGTAGTCCACCACTTGAAATCTATGGCTTTAGGGATTGTACGTTTTTCAGACCCCCAAGAGCTTACAGATCAGAGGAGAAAATGATTTTTGGGGAGGAGGTGGTTGGATGGAAGCAGAGTACAAGATAAAGTATAAAATCAAGTTTTTACTTCAAGTTAAATGAAGAGGAAAGAAAGCTGTATTAAAAATGAAGGAAACAGTAGCCAAGAAAAACTTTCTTGTCTAGTGTTAAAGTAACATCATTGTGAAGATCACCTGGTTTTCAGAAGACAAATAATTAATCTGCTTACGAAACTCGCTCCCCAAAGGTCAGTGCACTCAAAGGTATACCACACAGCAGGCTGTACTTACTGCCCACTAAATCAAACAGGATTGGGATTCTGAATGCGCTACTCCAGTGGTTTTCAACTTTTTTTCATTTTGAATGGAGGTGCGGACCCCTTTGGAAATTTTAAATGGAGGTGAAGACCCCTTTGAATTATAAATGTGGGTATTCACATATTTTTGATTGATTGTAGGAATCTTTCCCAGACCACTTTGACATAATCTGCAGACCCCCAGGTATCCATGGACCAGTTTGAAAACCACTGCACTACTTAAATGTATATGGCAAGCTCCTCTACTCTTTTTAGTGTTCAGTTTGTCTCTAGTAAGGCCACGTCAGAGCACATTGCTTAAACGCAACTAGATTTGTGAAAAATGTGACTTTATTAGTTACTGTTGGGAGAGTAGTTACAGCTCAGTTAGATTCTTGGGTTGTAGCCGTGTGGAAAGTGATGCCAGGGGAACTGTTTCTCCAATGGTTGCAGCTCTATCTTTGGCCAGCATGCCAGGGTTTATTAGAAATAGTTTCAGCATTTTACAAACTTATGGGTAACTTCATAAATTCCAACAGATTCCTTTGATTTTTCATCATAGTCATTCCAATCCTATGGGGATTAAAATTTTACAACATTAGCCACACCAAATAGAATCCAGCACTGTTTAAAAAACAAACTGAACATCCAAGTAAATTGCCCACAATTTCTAGTTTGAGTTTCATATTTCTACAGGAGGTACTTATATGTAGGTTGTTGACCTACTTGTGATTTTGAGAGGTGAGAACACTGAAATTAGATGGCTTCAATCTACTTGGGTTAAGGGAAAAAAAGATTTTCCCTGTATGAAGTCCATGGCTTGAGTCAGAAGCCTGCTGCATGAAAGGATTGATTACCTGTTATTTACAATACTCAAGTCGTGTGGGTAAGGAGACAAAACAGTTCTTCCTAGCAAGTATAATACCAAGGAGTGGAACTGAGCTTGAGACTCCTCTCATGGCCAGGGAAGATTTGCAATGGAGTTATTATGCTCAACTCTGTAGGAGACTACATGTTATTATTCAACAGCTCTGTCCAGAGGGAAATTTTAGGAGTTGAAAAGAGAACTCATTTTCTCAAAATAAAGAACCAGAATCAGCCTAAAGTCTAGGATTTTCTAGTTTGGTAGGAGTTAGAAAAAAGATACGTTGCATTTACACCTTCATATAGTTTTAATTCTGAAGAGGTGCCTGACAAAAGACTTCTAAAGAAGAGAGGCACACACTTGTGTTTGACGTAGCATATCTTCCTTTGCAGTGTACACCCAACAGCTTTTAAATGGGTGATCTATCATCTCCTTACCCTGAAATACAGATCTGAGAAGGAAACAAAAGTCCGTTAGACTGAACCTCCTCATGAATCTCACACCATACCTTTTCCAGTAAGTTTATTTCACTGAAAGACGTGCCAGACTCTGCACCTTCAGCAGCAAACCCAGCCTAAAAACAAGAATTAAAATAACTTTTTAATGGCCAGTCGTAGCAAGATGCAGAACCAGCCCAAGATGTTAAATGTCCTTAAAGTGAACTGTGCAACAAGCTGTTACCCAACACAAATATTTATTGTTATGTAGGACAGGTATCTCTGCTATATGATAATAAAGAATGACCAGTTTCAATATATGGCAGTTGTGGGGGACAACCTTTTTGGCAGGTATGCCAAAAGTTAGCCAGGCACCCTCTCCCAATGTCACGCCAATTCTGAACCTGGTTCTCTGCTTTGTGCCTTGTGGTTCTTGCCTCATCTACAATTTTTAATAGTTGGAGTAAGAGAGGGGTGCTGAAGGAATGTCTTAAACTTGAGTGTTCATTTGGTTTAAATGCCTACATTTAATTTTTATAGATATTGGATCCCAAAGGATTCATGTAACATGGATTTCACTTATACTCTTTAACTACCAGGCCACTGTCAATCGTATGAAAGTAACAGAATGAAACAAAAAGCATTGTTTTCCAGAACAAACATTTTTCAGGCTAAGAATTATGTATTATTGGAAGAATGTTGCATCATGCACTTTCTTCACATCACATATTAGGCGTATTCAGCAAGTCTATTAGTAACAACTTCAATCTTCTGCCATCAGTGCCAAGAGATTTTAAGGCATTTTAGAAATAATGTGTCCTAGACAAATTTTGAGCTAACAAGGAAAGGGCAAGAGTCTTCAGGTTTGATTTCAGGTTTCAGAACCTAAACATTTTGGCAATAGCACGAAGCGGTAACAATTCAGAGCAGTAAAGGTAGACACAGGGCACACAAGCCACCTAGCAGATAAGAACCAGCTGAACTGTACCTGGGTGACCAGGTCAGAGTGGCATCATTCCACAGCGTAAGAGCTCCAGTGTTCTGTAGCTACTGCAGCCTCCTCTTCTAGCAGACACTAACTTGAAATCACTGTATTAGCCTTAAAGATGTTGTTCTCCACACACTTACACATTATGTTCGCCTAGTCTCAAGAAGTTGAGAAAGGAAATGAACATGTTCAAACAAAGGGGCTGCAGCACATAAAGCTGTGTATGCATTTGCAAGGAAAGTCAGAAAGAAGTATGTCACTCATGTCAGGGTTCATTGCTGTGTTAATAACAGAGCAGTAGTTAAGCACAGCTTAACATTCTGTTGGCCTTAAATTCCCTAAAAGTTATGGGATGGTATATAAAAGTCTCCTCTGAGATGCTCAGTCAGAGCATCAGCTGACTATGTAGTAAGGGCAAATCTTCTCTGGTGTTGATCATGCGACCTGATTCAACATTTTCCATACTCATGAATCCTGACTATCTTCAGTGATATCTAAGCATATGAAAAACATGTTAATCTGGCAACAAGCTTTAAAAGTGTTTGAGGATTTACCCAAAGTGCTTAGTTCTGCATGTCTGTGCAGCACAATGCAGACACCCACAGTAGATCTGGGCACAGAAGCCATATATCAACATTTGTGCAATGTTGGCTATGACCCAACTGGCTCTGTGAACAGCAGGGCTTATTAGCTTGGATGCAGCCCTGTTCAGACACAGCTGTCCTGTTTCTGGGTCCAGAGATACTGTATGCAAAAGCTCAGGTATCTACATAAAGCTGCCTTGCAACATATAACCATGCGCTTAGAATCACCCTCCCCCCACACCATGCGACAGAAATGCCAATGGAAGTGGGATGTCAATCAGATACTACAAATGGTTTTTCTGTGGTTTTACAAGTGCAGGTAAAGGGCCAGAAGGGTTCAAGTGAAGTGTGTCACAGACCATAATACTGAGCTGTCAATAGGACAAGGAATGGAAACAGCTGTCTGTGGTCAGCAGAGATCCATGGAGCATTGAGCCATGTGACTGGAATTATAAGCTCCTGTACCAGACATCCTCAGCAGGACTTGCATTCTTACAGCTCTGGCGTCACAGCAGATACTCGCAATTAATCTCTGCCAAAGAGCTCTGGGGAATGAAGCAACTCGTCTGCCCTCTACCGACTGGCTCGGAACCAACAGCTGCTAAAGTGTAGCATACGTATGCCAAAGAAATAGGAATGCAAAGGTATTTGCCCCCTCTAAAGCCAAAGTAAGCCTCTGGAATAATTCATTAGGACATTGTAATATGTATGTAAATAGTGTTTCAGGGTGCAAACTGCGAATTGTATGACAATGCAAAAGTTCAAGCTTTGAGAGTGTCAGTGTCAAAGCAGTTATTTTAAAATTGTCTCTTATCTCTCCCTTTCACTGGTGGTGACTGAAGTGAGATTAACAGTATGGCAGAAATTTTTCTACAGAAAGATGTATTTTCTACTTCTGGCTGCAAAACCTACCAAGAGCAAACAATGAGCCCCTGACATTGCTTCCAGGGCAGGCAGGCTTCTAGTTAAGAAGACACCAGGCCAATTACACAATGCAATACCCCATTTTATATACAATTAATTCTTCATAGAATCAGCAAGACTTTTTTTG